TACACTCGAAGACCAAAGCCATCTGCTGTCGTGCCTCCTCCGTCGTCTTCAGAGTCTTTGGATCCAACACCTTCCACTGTGTCTGAATCCTTGCCTATTGCACTACGTAAGGCTCCTCGCTCCTGTGTTACTAAACATCCCATTGCTCAGTATGTCTCTTATAATTCCTTATCGCCATCTTTCTCATGTTTTTCCTCTCAATTGTCTACTACATTTGTTCCTAAGACTGTGCAGGATGCTTTGTCTGATTTGGGCTGGAGGAAAGCCATGCAAGATGAAATTGATGCTTTGCATCAGAATGACATGTGGAATCTTGTTCCTTTATCTCCAGGTGTCAAACCAGTTGGTTGTCGCTGGGTCTACACTGTGAAGTATCTTCCAGATGGTTCCGTTGAGCGGTTAAAAGCTCGTCTTGTTACCAAAGGTTATACCCAGACTTATGGTATTGACTATGATGAGACGTTTGCCCCTGTTGCTAAGATTTCTTTTATTCGTGTTTTGATTTCTCTTGCTGCTAATAGACATTGGCCTCTGTTTCAGTTAGACGTTAAAAATGCTTTTTTGCATGGTGACTTAGTCGAAGAGGTTTATATGGAGCAACCACCTGGGTTTGTTGCTCAGGGGGAGTCTCTTCACACTGTTTGTCACCTTAAAAAGGCCCTATATGGATTGAAACAATCTCCACGGGCTTGGTTTGGAAAATTCTCTGAGGCAGCATTAAAATTTGGTATTAACAGATGTCAGACTGACCATTCGGTATTTCACCAGCGCACTAAAGCTGGCTTCATCTTTCTTGTTGTATATGTAGATGATATTGTGATCACAGGTGATGATTCTGAAGGCATTGCTAAGTTGAAGTTGTTTCTGCAATATCGATTCCACACTAAAGACTTGGGTAAACTTAGGTATTTCTTGGGTATTGAAGTTGCTAGATCCAAGAAGGGTATAAGTTTATCACAACAAAAATATGTGTTGGATTTATTAGAAGAAACAAGTATGTTGGGTGGTCGCCCGGTTGATGCTCCTATGGATTCGAATACAAAACTTGTGTCTGATGATGGTGATCTATTTAATGATCCGGGCAGATTTCGTCGTCTAGTTGGGAAATTAATTTATCTCACTATCACTCGACCTGATATTTCATATGCAGTTAGTGTTGTAAGTCAGTTTATGGGAGCTCCTAGAATGCCACATTGGATTGTTGTTCTTCGGATTATCCGATATCTCAAGCAAGTTCCAGGTGTTGGGTTACTATATAAATCAAATGGTCATCTCAGGGTGGAAGGTTTTACAGATGCCGATTGGGCTGGTTCTCCTTCAGATAGGAGATCTACTACAGGCTACTGCACATTTGTAGGAGGCAATCTTGTTACATGGCGAAGTAAAAAGCAAACGGTGGTAGCTCGATCTAGTGCTGAAGCTGAGCATAGGGCAATGGCTCATACTACTAGCGAGTTGACCTGGATACAACATTTTCTAAAAGAACTTGGGTTGACAGTTGAAGTTCCTACTCCATTGTTCTGTGATAATCAAGCAGCAGTTCACATTGCCTCAAATCCTGTGTTTCATGAGAGGACCAAACATATTGAAGTTGATTGTCACTTCATTCGAGAAAAGATATTGCTTGGGAGCATCTCTACTCCATTCGTGAAGTCTGAAGATCAATTAGCTGATATGTTTACCAAAGCATTGGGTCATAACCGGTTAAGAACTATCTGTTCCAAGTTAGGATTATTTGATATATATTCTCCAGCTTTAGGGGGAGTGTTAGAATGTTATATATATATATATATGTTGGGCCATTATGTAATTACATTATATTAGTAGGCCCTTGTGTTATTAAGGAGGCTTGTATCCCTTATATAAGCCTATATAGGCTTATTTGGTGTGCGTAGGTGAAATATATACAGATTTGTTCTCTCTATCTCTCATGGTAAACAACACCTAGCATGGAATTGGTAACTCCAAACGCCAAGAATGAAGAGCAGCAACAGCAGCAGCAGGAGGAACATTTTGCAAATATGTCCCACCAAGAAAAATCCAACAATAATTGTGAAGGAAAATCTGAAATGGAATTAGAAAATGCAAATGAAGAATATTTAAATTGGTTGGAGCATATGTTTTTTGATGATCATGAAGAGCAGCAGAAACAACTTTCAAATATGTCCCACTCCCACTCCCACCAAGAGCTGCTGCAAGAAAAAGGAGTACAAGAGCAGCTGAAACCCTTGGAAATAGAAACTGCAGATGAAAAATATTTAAATTGGCTGGAGCTTATATGTTTCGATGATGATGAAGAGCAGCAGAAACAATTTTCAAATATGTCCCACTCCCACCAAGAGTTGCTGTAAGAAAAAGGAGTAGAAGAGCAGCTGAAACCCATGGAATTGGAAATTGCATACACCAAGGATGGAGAGTATTTAACTGAGGAGCATTCGTTGCAAGAAAAATCGGACATGGAATTGGAAACTGTAGACATGGTGTTTAAAGATTTGTCTTGGCTGCAGAATGTAGATTTCCCTTTTCTGCAGAACAAAGATTTGCTTTTAGGGCAGGATGAAGTAGAATTATATTTGGTCAATTATGATGAATAACCCCAATTGTGTGTTAAGCCGTAAATAAGGGAGTCTTTGATCTCCATTGACAATTTGACATGTATGACCAAAATTGCGTCTCTGGATTGTTATTCAACCTTCTTGTAAGCATATATAATATACATATATGCTAGCTTCATTCTTTTGTTCTGCTTCCTCCTTTCTCTATGAATATATATATAGTCAGATATATAGTCCAAAGATGGGAAGTTCAACTTTGATGACTCCCTGCACTGTCACTGCCGTTCTTTCTAGTTATATGATCAGCCGGAACATTTGAGGTTGAATGGATTTCTAGGAAGGAAACAGTGTACATGTCCGGTACAATAATTTAAATTAATTCATGAAGTTTGAAGCTCGGTGTAGTTTTCACTTGCGACTAATACTAATACCAAAAAAATCAAATCCTCTACCATGTTCCATCTCTAATTATTATTTCCAAGAAAAAGAAAATGAAGCCAACACTTATTTATATACCTTATTATTCTTCTGAAGGTCAAAAATTAAAAGAACTTTGGGCAAGCCAAATTACATAATCCTAAGCAGTAGAAATGAGACATCATCAATACAGCTGGAATACATCCAAAAATAATTCTCTACTTTTATTTATATTATCTCAGGAGCTTAGAGCTAGATAAGTATTGTTTTTGTTTTCTAAAAGCTTATATAATTTACTTAATTAATTCAAAATATATTTTAAGATTGCATTGGAATTTCATTCTTGTAAAATGCAAGGGAGGAACTATTAATGGGCTAACCTATAGCTCAGGTCAATTAAAAAAAAAAATAGTACTAATGTTCATATGAGCCCAATGCATATGTAATAAATTTGTAGTACTATTCTTCCTTTTCTTATTAGCCCAACTGTTCATGTGTTTATCTGGGTTTTATGCTGCTGCTATCCTTTTTCTTCGAAATGCCACCCCCCCCCCCCCCCCCCCCCCCCCCCCGAAGCAAGAGCATAGAATATATTAATTAGAAACTACAATTCAAAAAGTTTACAACTGTTAAAAAGTGAGGAAACATCCAACTTTTAATTAAAATTAGGACATAAACCCATATTCCCTAGAACATGGGCAGTCTTATTTTAAAATCTAAGCACCCTTATCAATTAATAGTTGAATGGATGTTCAAGATTCAATTGGATAATTTTTTATTTTATTTTTACTCGGAAAACAAATTCCAATTGATACTTTGATGGTGGATAACAAATATGTTCTTATACTTGATTTTAAGTTGAGATCTAAACTTGGTAAATTAAACACAGTATACTTTAACCATATTTCAGTTATACAAGAAATTTTTTTAATATTTCACACTTTTATTGTGTTCATCTTCCAATTTTCTTATCTTTAGCCCTCCTTACTTTGCGATCCTGGCTACGCCCATGGTAAAATGTAAATACAAAATTAAGGGCCCATTTGGAAACTGTGTGTTTTTGCTTTGACCCAAAGTAAAAGTAATGTTTCTGTTTTAGAGTGTGTTCAATACTATTTCGATACTTGTTTGGTAATGTAAATTTCTTACAAGATTTTTAGAAGCAAAAACATGAAAGTATGTTTGATGAAAAGTGTTGCAAATTTGAATGGCTAGTTTAAAATGTTAATTTATTTATTTATTTATTTTTATTATTATTATTTTTTTAACGGCACTTTGCTATAGCGTGGAAACAAACAAAAGCATCATTTTGATACTTTCGATTTTGGCCTTAATTTTGAAAGCGCTTCGATACTATTCAAATGATAGTAAATATTACTAAACATGTTTTGTACTTTTGTTTTGCTACAGTAGGCTAACAAAAGTAAAAAATACCAAACAAAAGCATTAGCACCCTAAACCTTTTGCATCCTAAAGCGCGTCCCATATGCGTTCATGTCCTTTCTGTGTCCTAGCAATGTCTGCACACCTCCATGTCTCTTTTTAACAAGGTTTTTTTCTTTCTTTTTTATTTTTCTTTTTTGACGAGAAAACAAATGTCATGTCACCCCTAACCCTAAGAGACGTATCCCCCTTCATCCCAAAAGTGGAATATGAAGGTTAGAGTCTCCAAAGAGCACATGGACACGGGTGTGTTACTTGGAAAATTAAAAAACAAAAAAAATCCACTAGTGTTGATTTTCCATCTGGTTAAAAAATCCACTAGGCAGATTATCTGGGAATCCTGCTTACAGAAACTATTTGCTGTCATCGTAAGGAGAAGTATGCCTGATTCCTAATTCCTTGTGTCTTCTTTTTCTACCTTTACCCAGTAATCACACGCAAGTTCACTAACTTTTCCCGGCATACCGAAATATGTGCGTCTCCGTGGGCATTCGTGGATACAGCTGTGCTAATTAACTAAAACATGTGTTATATGGTCACAAAATGAAAGATGTGCTTTATGACTATAAAATGTGACTGACTGGATAAATCAAACTCTATTAACTAAAACCAATTTTAACTGACTAGAAAATAATGTCATAGAGATGCATCTAAACAACTAAACATAATGGCAAAACAACCTTTCTCACAAAAGATTGTAACCAAAGATTTTGAACAATTACTTGACCCCTAATCCCCAAGTGCCTGGCCAACATGCCAATTTCACTCCTCAATGTCTGAAGCATTTTCTTTATGGCTCGGAGATGGCATGGAGCCTCGCATTTTCATATCTCCAGTTTGTTGAGGATGTTGTTCCTGCTGCTGCTGCGGCTGAAGTTGCTGCTGAAACTGGTGCAATTGATGCGGTTGAATCTGGTGTTGCTGCTTCTGGGAATGAAGCTGCAGATGTTGAAACTGCTGTGCAGTTGACAATGTGTGCATAGCATGGTTGCTGGGATAAAATTGCTGGTTGGCTACATAAGACGGAGGGAAGTTCATCATGGGTCCACCATTCGGAATAGTTTGGCCAGTTAGTACTTTCATATGCTGGATCTCCCCCTTCAGTGCATCATTCAAGGCTGCATACCAAGCAAAACAAATATCATTCCAACTATTAAGTTATAACCAAATAAAATTTGTTACATGACACGATATTCATAGGTGAAGAAAGCAGAACTTTCGAATTTCTCATGCCAAATAAGAGCATATGCCACAGAATGGGACAAATCTGTTTTCTACAAAGCCAATGCAAAGAGGACACAGTAATATAAATCACAAATCCAGTTCCCAATACTTAATATAACTGTCATTAATACAAGTCATTCCTAGTCACTGTGGTAAAAGCTCTACTACCATGGGTGAGGTGAGACTGCAGATTTTGAGTCTTAAGGACTATCAGTTATGCAAATAATATCAAGATTTAAGTTTGTGTCACCAGTCCTTTTTCCCACCACAGTTGATCTAGGAGACTACACTGGAAAATAGCCTTTTAACAATTATCCTATATACTTCCATGAGTCAAGGATAATTCAAATTTGGACTCTAATTTTAACTTCACCTACTATACTTTTTAATCTAAATATTGATAGCTAATAGTCACTTCTTCATTTATTTAACTTCTAAAGACTAATAAATCAGTAAAAGCTTGGGATCTACAAGTTGGAATGACACCCGTCACACAAAATGCTGGGATACCACTCTGCTGGTATGCCCCCAAATTAAAATTGATTGAAGGGGAGAGTGGAAGTAAAATAGCAGTTAGATACACCCCCCTCTCTGCCCTCTGACTCACTACCTAAAGAGAAAAATATGTAAAATAAATAATTTCTTTGTCCTTTAATTTCAGGCAACCTACAAGTTGGATTTCAAGATTCTATCAAATTGAGCTGAGTTATTCAGGTAAAAAAATTTGAGCCAAGTTCAGCTTCAGTTTCAAATGTGCCCAAAAAATAGCGTGCATATATACACGTGTGTGTGTGTGTGAGTGTCCATTTTCCTATTATTTACATATACACATGCTGTGCTACTTTCAGTGCTATCTCTCGATCCATAAAGATTTGAAGTGCCAGTAATAGATAGTGTGTGTGTGTGTGTGTGGGGGGGGGGGGGGGGGGGGGGGGGGGGGGTGGGGTGAAGAAGAGCTTAGCAAATACCCTTACCATCTTGCAAATGAACCTGTTGCTCCATTGTTTGCAACCGCAGTTTCAGTTCACTGTTTTCAGCAGTTAGACCATTTGTATCTCTCTGTTCATTGAAAGTAACAAAGAAAATATAGTGTAGCCACAATCTTAGTTCTGTATATGAAGGTGTGTTCTGAATGGGAACTCGATGTAACAGAAAGTAAAACAAGCAGGTAACATGAGGAGCATGCCTATACAAAAGAACGATTTAATTATTACAAAACGCAGCCCAGGTCACTACATCTGGACTCTAGTGGTATGCAGTGAGGAGGGGCCAGTTCACCTGCAACAAGGTCAATTGAGCAGACAATGAAGTTGCTTCTGTTTGCAGAGTCTGGACTTTTCGTTCAAGCTCGGCTATGTACCTCATCTTCCTTTCCTTTGACCTTGCAGCTGACTGTCTATTTGCCCAAATCCTACAAGGCAAAGAAGAGACATGTAGAATATGAGAATAATAAATATAAGTTACAGAAAATGGTGGCTATATGCTTCACCCTTTTCGTAAGAGATAAATTTATCTCCAGGAACAATAAAAAAAAACAGGAAAGAATCAATGAGAAAAAGATCACTGCAAGAGAAAAATAATAAGGACAAAAGGAAACATATAAACAACACAACAAAAACAACAACAAAAACAAAACAAAAAATAACCAAAAAAAAAGGGAAACCTTCAACAGAATAGATCAAGTTCAAGAAACAATAGGCAACGCATAAGGTAGTAGAAGTAGAAATTTTGCAATAGATGCGAGTTTCTGGAGTAAATTTGGCCTGGCACCCTCTGCCCCTTTAAGGATAAAATAAATTTAGCCTAGCACCCAATGCCCCTTTACAGATTACATTCTCTCTAAATTAGTTTGGGAAATCATGGAATGTTAACAAAAAATCCCATTCTTCGAGCACCAAAAAATATTCTATTACTAATAACAACAATAATATTTGATGTTTGTAGTTAAAATCACAAGAGACTTAAAATACTGATGAATCAAATTAAGATATATACAATTACAATTAAGTAGAAATACTGAGGTACTTAAGCTTCTGGTTCTCATCCATGATGAATTATGCACTACTAATCACTATAGTTAGTGGTATGGATTAGAACTGGTGCATTTTATCAAATCTTTTATTATAAAAGAAGCACTTGATAATTGGCAGGACGGAGGAGGCAATATTGTTGAAACGGTAGCACATTAATTCTGGTCAATAATACATTGTCAAACCTGGCAACGTCTTGTCCATTTTCACCATCTCTACATCAACCGCTAAGAGATTAGAGAAATTGCAAAGACTTTTTTTTTTTTTTTGATGATAAGCAGACTGGGGATGTTACACTGAAGGAATCTTTTCCACACATGTTTAAAATAGAAGTGAATAAAGATACAACACCATGGAATTCTGTACACACACTGCTGTCAGGGATAGTTTGGGATGTCAGATTTTGGAGCTAAGTGGATAGTTGGGAGCTTGAGGCAGTGATGAACCTTCTAAATACTTCATGTATAATAGTTAGCTAAAGAAAAGGTAAGGACGGGGTAAGCTGCAGAGTGAGGACTTGTTTGGCACTTCTAATATCTTCTTTCCTTGGAAAGGTATGCATGGAGGTTCATTGCATGGTTGGCTTACTGATGAGAAGACCCTCGTGGAAGATAATTAATTCAAACAGAATAAATATCCTATCTAATTGGTTTTGTAAGTATAAAGAGGCTCAGGAATCAGTAGACCATCTTTTTTGATATATCCATTTAACATAAGTGCAACAAAAGGAAGCTTGACCAGATAAAAAAGAAAAGGCTCAATAGTGCTACAACATCTCTGAAAATTAACCAACAAAACAAACAAAAGGCCAATTCACCAGCTACACTTTGAAATCATTTTTGGGTAAATTATGCAAGAGGCAGTACATAACTACACAGCAATCAGTTTTAAAGCAAATTAACATGCTATAAAATCCATCACAAAAAGAGTTGAACAAAGTTGTGTATACTTTTTCCCTTGTTCAATAAAGCATGACAGATCAGAGAGTATTTTTCGTAAAGACATTTGTCAACTAGATTATTACATATGAGATAGAAGTAGATAGTGTAAACCTATTTTGCATTGCTCAACTGTTATCCTTACATGTTAGTTAGGAACATAAGAAGCAGAGTTCCCCTTCAGCCCCGCTCCACAAATACACATGTTTACCAGTTAGATCAAAGTTCCTATGACCTTCTCAAGGTGGTTGAACTAGATATGCAATCAAATGCAATTTAGTAACATAAGAAAAGACTACCTTTATTTGGACACTAGAGAATAAATCACTTAAGAAATAAACCATTCATCCCCCCTAAAGGAGATGGCAGCAACTCCAAACTAGTATAAATTAGTAGTGAATTAGCATCTCCTACACAGACCATTTCCTTTGTATACACTCAGGTACTTACTACCACTTGAAATTTTTATTCTTGTTTTGTATCAGTATGCTCCTACAGTAATCTGTAAATACAATTAAACAAAAATCATTTCATAAATGAACATAATCTTTAACATCAGAAAACAGACTGATACTTTTTAGTTTTTAATCTGCCAAAAACCATTGTAAACAAGTACTTGCTGAAGTTAGTGAGCTTACTCACTACCATTGAATGTAATGAAGCTCCAAGCTTCATCAATAGTGGTAACATCCAACAAAACTTTTGATGCATTGTATTACACAATATAATATATCACAATTAAAAAAGAAACTTCCTTATAATCATAAAAGAAAGATGCATATCTGATAAAATCATAGTCACCAAAAACAATGCACCATACAGAAACTGCAACCATTGTTTCGACAGGCATGCTGCATGCAAATATACGTAACAGTATTTCTTCCAAATTCAATATTATTATCAACAACTGTAGTATGTACAGAATGAAATATAAACATATCACCAACTATGCAAATTTTTACTTTAAAGAATCCTTTAGAATGCTATGCATTCCATCCATAAAAAGCGGAACTACTGATCACATACGATAAATTTTGACATCACAAATAACAATTGTCTTCAATAACAATAAACAAAACCAAATAGTTGAAATACCAAATATTTATTGCAATTACTTCCATTTACATGCATGCAGGTATACATTTCCATATAATATCTATAATTGGGGATGGCATATTATTAAAAAAAAGGAAAAGGGAAGAAGAACAAACGAAGCCTCAATGTCAATAAGGACAAATTGAAGCGAACAACTAGTAATCAAATAGACATAGTAATAACTCAACACCAAGGACTACATGTATTCAATTAATGGAATTCCAAGTTTTTTGTGACATGGAAGTATAATTAGCTTATTGATTTATTCGCCTTTTCTCCTAAAAATTTTTAAGTGAAACATTGCTTCAACCCGCTCATTTGTAGGCTAAGAACAAATAATAAAAAAGAGAGGAATCACTAACTGCACAAATAAACAGTACACCAATTCTCTGGAAATGCTACCTTTTAGCACGCTTTGGATCAATGAGAGCAAGCTCAGCAAGCTTAGCAGCAGACATGGCTTTCTTAGAATCGGCTGCAGATGTCTCTTCTGTACCCGATATAAGCATCTCCGGTTTAGTTGTAGTAGACCCATCCATGGACTGGCTATGTTGATGCCTAACTCTTGGTCTCTCACTAGAGGAAGGGACCACATTCTCAGCTGAAAGGGTTGCTGCTGTTGATGCCAGTGCTGGAACTGGTGCTGGAGCCACTGCAGAAGATGGCTCACCCATTTGATATGTGGATGTAGCAGAAGATGAATTGAATTTATCCATGTCAAGGTACATAGAAAACAAATCTTCTTCAGTCTCATCCGAGAACGAAGGCCCGTCCATGCCACCCACGACACCAAGATCACTATCAAAGCTAATGTCATCAGGAAGGGTAAGAATTTCTGAATGAGCACGCCGGTGGCCCTTATTCTTAGGCGGGTTATCGGGCATTCGGCTAATATCATGGCTAAACCGACTAGAGTCTGACGACATCCCATGACCAAATTGAACTGATTCTGATGTACCACCAGGTCCCAAGGGAGGCAAAGTCGCTGATGGTGAAGGCTCTGATTTCACGTTAAAACTATTCCCAGGTGGTGAAAAGACTGTATACCTCCCTGACGGAGGCAGTGAACCTCCACTGTGACTCACGGACTTCTCTTTCTCCATCTTGTACAATCTCTAAAGCCTAGAAGCTCAGAACACAAAGCTCGACAACCCAAAACCTGAAAACGACGATTCCTCCCAATCAAAGCAAAACCCTAGAAACTCGTATTATGTTGGGTTTTTTCAAAGAAAAAAACAAGTGATTTTCCTTCAGTATCTGACAAATGGGTATTCACACCAGGACACTAAAAAGCGATGAAAACCTTCAAATTGAGATATCATGCAGCAGAAAAAACCCTCAAACGAGTGATTGTCAAGGATACAGGTAGTGTCAAATTTCACAAAAAAAAAAAAAAAAAGGTTCAGAATTAAGATAGCATAGATGGTAAAGCTCTAGATTCGGAGATCTGATCGGTACATTACATGAGCAACACAGAAGCATTCAAGGAGAGAATGAAACCCTATATATCGAAATGGGATTCATGTGCTGTGTTATGTATAAGAAAATGCACGAATTTTTAATAAAAAAACCACACATACTTTTATAACTTGGAAAAGATTGTGAAGAAGCCAAAGAGAGTCCTCAGCTTTTCCATGCAAATGGTAAGAGAGAGATCTGAGACGACAATGTAAGGCGTCGGCGATAAGACACATATATGGAGATATAGAAAATGAGCATTTTCTTTATACACTACCACGCGACTATGGAATTCTCAAGGCTGCAAAAGAAGGTATACGGGTGGAGATTGATATTGTTCTAATTTAATTTGTTCATAAAAAAAATAAAAAATTATCTTTCTAAAAATTTCTTATTCTTGAATGGAAATGTTTGTGCTTAAGTCACAGAATCTTTTTTAACAAGGGTTGTTCTTACCATTAAAGTGCACCCTCGTTCTCAAATTCTCATTATTTATGATTTAATTTTGTCGTTCTCACTCCTTTACTTGCTCTTAAATTCACTTTAGCTTTTATATGAAGCAAAATTCACTTTAGCTTTTATATGAAGCAGGTCCGTACTGTAACTTCTGTTTTTTTTCTTATTTTTTAAATTTCTCAGCAATTTTATGAGCTTAATATTTGTATATATATATTTTTTAGTACTACACTCTCACCATACTCCTATTTTTTGACTTCTTGTTTTGTTAATTAGTTGGAAAAAATGACGTCAATGGGCTCCCTCCAAATAACTTTTTGACTTTTTGATTTAGTTTTGGACTGCAATGTTAGTTGTCCTGTTACTGCATAATAATAATAATAATAATAATAAGTGTTTTTGTGACTTGAGTTCCATAATTTTGTATTAATTTTGATGTTGGTAACCTTTTTTTAAAAAAAAATGTTACAGATTGATCATATTTTTATAATTTTTTGTTAATCAACAAATGATTAACTAAACAATGTTACAATTAAACTTGTCTTGCTTTTTTTTAAAACACCAAAACTATCCATTTGTTTAAGCTGCCCTAATCACATAAATATATCTGTCACATCTTTACTTATACCTTTTGTTTAAACTACCCTAATCACGTTTGTAACCAAGATAGAAAAACAGGAAAAACTCTTAAGGCTCATTTTATAAAGAGCACTGCTATTTCACCCGCTTATAAAAAATCGATTTAATACCGACTCTAACTTATTATACAAGTGACATGTGATTAGTGGAGCTCAATTTAGAAACGTACACGCAATCTCTTTTCTTTGCCCCAATCTCGTCTTCGCCCCTGCAAATCACACACCATCACACTCCTTGCTTTAATTCCTCAACTGGCCTAACGCCTTAATCGTTGGATTCTTGGACACGAAAATCTGGTTGGAACGGCTAAGCTTCTCCGATGATGGCCTTTCTTCGGTTCCCTCCGATTGTAAAGACACTTGCGAGAGAGTACACCTGATTTTTCTTCTGCGTGAAATCAAAAAAAATCATGTATGCGAGCCTATGCCCTCTTTAAGCTCTCTGTTTTTATCTTTTGCCCGCAGGGGTTGTGAAGACAAAGTTAACCCATGAACCCTAGGTTCTTCAAATCTCAATTGAAAAAAAAAAAAAAAAATACAATCTTTGTTCGATGACGAAAAAGAGAACTGAGGAAACGAAAAAGATTATGCAAATTTAGGTTAGACAAAAATTAAAATTTTCCTAGGTTTGAAAGGAAGAAGAAAATTGGGTGCATCAAGGGAAATCATGAGGTTGATTAAATCCATGGTTACAGAAGTTATTTGTCATCGAGATAATTAGGAATAATTCACGCATTATTATAATTTTACAGGATTAAAAAAAAAAAAAAAATGTTGATTTATTTTATTTTATTTTATCGTGATTAGAACATGTATACCAAGCAAACCCAATCTCTACGAAAGTCGAGAACAGAGAGCTTAAACAAAAAACTTTTGAAAAGACAAACCAATCATGCTATAGTATGAACTGAGCTTGATTGAAGATTTAACTTTGAAGCTATGAATGTGTCCCATAGCCTCGATTGAAAAAACATTGCAACAAATTTCTTTACAACCATTTTTTTAAATTTTTATATAGATTAAGAATTATGATTCCATGAAAAAACAACCACCACATATATAATGAGTCTATGAACTACAAAATGATGATTGTTTGCGGCTTGATAAACAGCAATGGCACACAGGTTGAAAAAAAACAGAGAGAAAATATAGGTAGGGTTTTGATGTTGGCTAGAATAATTTGGTAGAAAACAAATTAAGGTTAGTTCGGGATTTTAGATAGAAAGGCTCTTAATGTTAACGTGGTTTAGTGGACAGTTAGTTTGACCATAAGAGATATTTAAAAATAGGATCGATCTCAACATTTTTTTTTTAAGGGACCAATGCCAAAACCTATACAAAATTATAGGACTTAGGTAAAAAAAAAAAAAAAAAAAAAAATCCAAATAATAATAATAATATCACTTTCTCTAAATAACCTTTAAATTAAAAGGAAAGTATTAATACATGCTGCTTAATGTATCAGAGATTACTACTCCAGGTACAAGCTCAACCTCAACCCAGAAGAACATTATTATTCAGATTGCAGCCACGATAATAAAATGCCATCTCCCATGAAAGGAACAAACTCATTAGGTATATAAACAAAGTGAACAAACCAACATATATGTTAAGGTTTCTTAAGCATTACATCTAGTCGATCTCATCAAACCACCGACTGTTCTCCAGAAATTCATCACAATAAACAGACACACACAAACACAAACATTGACCAGAATAAACATTCAAGGAAATTAATCTTGGACGACAGTTTCATCAGAAAATGTATTCCGGTATGTGGAGGGGGAACTGTGCCACTTCAACCTTAAATGGACTGCCTTTGGGATCTGCCAATCTACAGCAAGAACACCACAAATATACCTTTCCTCAGTGAAATAAGAAATTATATGGACCTCGCAAATTGAATAAGAAATACTAATACAAACCGATTCTCCTTCACAGTTCTTGGATAACAAGGAACTGACTATCTTTTCAAAAAAAAATTTACACACTAACAAAGAGAACAAATAACTTTACAGAATGCAAAAGGTACAAATACTAAAAAATAGATGTTTTCCGAAACTTCAATAGAAGCCATTATTACAATGAACGGAACATATAAATATATAATGAAATCAATAAAAGGATATAAATGATACTTTCCAGCTTCCAAGCATGGATACCAAGATTATATGACAAATCTCCTAAGAAGCACGGACACGGATACGACACGACACGGACACAGCGACACGACAAATCCAAAAAAATTAGGACACGGACACGGCGGGCACACAGTGAATAGTGTGTGTGTGTGTATATATATGTGTATGTGTGTGTGTGTGTGTGTGTGTGTGTGTGTGTGTGATATAGTACTTTAAAAATTACTAAGTGCTACTATTTTTCATCAACCTCACAATGAAAAAAAAAAACACAAATCATAACTCATAACTAATAAACTATAAAAGAACAATGTTGCATAATTATAAAACCAAATAAAAAACAAGACATTAGAATAATTACTAGTATCATTTAATCATCATTACAACTTTACTCCAAATACAAAAGCATAGACAGAAAGGACTATTAACATTCATGACTGTTTAGCATTCAGGACTTTACTGTTAGCACTTAACATTTACAAAAACTTAAAGGCTAGTCCCCCAAAAAAGATACAAAAACAAGTCAGTGTACTATCATCTATTCCCATCCATCATTTGACCTAGGATTTTTACCATTTACAATACCTTAGTTCCCAAAAAAGATACAAAAACAAGTCAGTATACTATCATCTATTCCCATCCATCATTTGACCTAGGACTTTTACCATTTACAATACCAAAAGGGTAGTACAAAACAAAAAACAGAACATATCAGCATTAAAAATAAAAATAAAAATAAAAATAAAAATTCTAGACACGTGTGTCCGTTCCATGTCCGAACCGTGTCCGAAAATTAAAAAAAATAAAAAAATTTCAGACATGATTTTTTGGTGTGTCCGACATGTGTCGGACAAGGATTCTTCGCCCATTTTGGCGTGTCCATGCTTCCTTGCAAATCTAAAAAAAAAACGAAAAAGAATACGAATACGAATACAACATGGATACGCCAAATAATAATATATATATATATTTATATATAAAATAATATTTGCCCATTTTAACTATATTATCATCAATGAGATCACTAATTTAGAGCTTAGAGCTAGAAGTATGTTATTTTTATTTTCTAAAATTTCGTATTATTTTTCTAGTTAACCCATAATATATTTTAAAATCGCATTAAAATCACATTCTTCTAAGAAAAATAATTACCAAACTAACCCACCATGTCTTGAAAGTGTCCCAAACGTGTTCTCACCGTGTACCCTTTATGTCCATGCCATGTCCCAACTATGCCAACCATGAAAGAAAAATATATACATTTTAGGACACTTCTAGTCGTATTGGACGCCTGTCCGGGCCATGTCCCATGTATGAGTGTTCAACACCGCCACAACACCCTAAGAGAAGTGGTCGTGCTTCCCAGCCCTCCAGAAACAACTACTCTGTGCGTCCCAAAATACATGTTCCTCTTTTTTAGAATGTCCCCAATAAATGTCTCCTTTTAATGTTTAAAAATTATATCTTTTCTAAATTATCCTTTAGTTCTCAAAAACTTTCCCAAGTTAACAATGTAAATTTTTATATTTAGAAGGTCAGTTTTGGCATTTCAAAGCACGACATGCATTAAATGCATGTCGCCTTGAAGTTGGAATCCAAAAAGGACATTTAATTTGGGATGGAGGTATTACATATAGTATTTTATACTACTCATAAACATATTCTCTAGATACTCTATAATGTGTGTCTCAATCATGTTCATGAATAATTACAGAGCCTGCATCATATCCAAATTTGACTTAACAGATGTTAGATAGATAACACTTGAACTGGATGAAAATTTAATGCCGATGGGGCTAGTTAATCCTCTCAACTTTGTTGCCCTTTTGGGTAAATGCATCTATGGCAGAGCCATCAACGCAGATCTGGTTGAGAATCTTAATATCATCACAGTGAAGCCCTTCTTAGTAGAAAAGGTCCTACAATCACATTCAAAGCAATAATTCCAATAAACTCCCCTCCCCAAAAAGGAGAAGAAGAGCGTCTTGTCAGGCGATTTTTGCGGAGATTGCTGTTCTGGAGGAGATTTCGTGGCATCAGAAATCTCGGGCATTGTGGCTTAAAGAAGGTGACTGCAATACAAAATTCTTTCACAGACTTGCTAACGCTCATAGAAGATGTAATCACATCGGGCGTATCCGTGTGAAAGGTACAGAGTTGTGGAGAGAAGACAAGGTGCGTGGGGGAATTGTTTCTTTCTTTACATTGAGTCCATGGGATGGAGACCTAAACTTGATGGTTTGCATTTCAATCTATTTCTACACTGGATAGTGACAGGCTTGAGGTTCCTTTCACTGAAGAAGAAGTTCTTAAGGCTTTATCAAGCTGTAATGGAGATAAAGCTCCAGGGCCAGATGGATTTACTACGCGGTTTCTTAAGGAGATCTGGGAGGTGGTACGCAGTGAGGTGACGGGCACCTTTCAGGTTTATCGTTCTCATGGCACATTTGAGAAATCATTGAATGCATCTTTTATTGCCCTTATTCCTAAAAAGGGCGACGCCTCTGATATTAAGGACATTAGGCCAATCAGCTTAGTAGAATGCATGTGCAAGCTTATTGCCAAAGTTCTCGTTCTTAGCATGCGGAATGTATTGGACGGAATTATTTCAGAGTCACAAAATGCTTTGTTGGGGGAAGGCAGATCTTGGATTCCGTTCTTATTTATTTATTTATTTTTTTTTTGATAAGTAAGAATTTTATAAAAAAGCACTCAAAGGGGAGCGAAACCCAAGGATACAAGAAGAAAAAACCAAAAAGAGCCTCAAGCCTTCAAAGAGGCCAAAAACATAACAATTTCCTCAACAGAACGATAATCTCTCCCTGAGACCCAACAAAAGAGAGTAGAAATAATAGAAAACTTAAGCATAGAAATGGGTTTCTCCTTGCCATCGAAGTATCTTCGATTCCTCTCGAGCCAAATGCACCACCAAACACAGAGAGGGGTAACCCTCCAAGCATCCCGGATGAGCGCCCCAACAGAGACACCTCTCCAAGCTTCAATCAACCCTCTAGAGGAACAGGGCATAACCCAGGGAACCCCAAACAACCCAATCATCAAATCCCAACAATCTCTGGCCATACTACAATGCAAAAGAAGGTGATCCACTGTCTCCTCATCACAACGACACAAGTAACAGCGATTGATAACCACCTGCATTCTCCTCCTCAAATTATCCTGGGTTAAAATCCTACCCAAGACAAACGTCCAAGCAAAAAAGGCCACCTTAAGGGGAGCCTTGGAACACCAAATAGCCTTCCAAGGGAAAGTGCCACCCTCCCCATCAGAAAGGAACCTGAAAAAGGATCTCACCTCGAAACAACCCCGAGAGTGTGGACTCCAAAGCCAACAATCAGCCTCCTCGTGAGAGATCACCTGACGATACAGTAACTCCAAAAAACGAGTGACCTCCTCAATTTCCCAATCCTGAAAATGCCTCTTAAACTGAACGTCCCAAGTTAGTCTTCCGTTATCAAGGTGATAACAGTCAACCACCAAGGCCTGCCTGTCAGAAGCAATCCTGTAAAGCTGAGGGAAAGAAAGAGCAAGGGAAAGATCCCCACACCAAAGGTCCTCCCAAAATCTAATCCTCCTACCATCCCTGATCCTAAAGCGAACATGATTACGAAAAACGTCCCATCCCTTTCGAATGCAAGTCCAAACCCCCACACCCCTAGGACTACGCCCCTCAAGAGAACACCACCCACCACTGATTTCCCCAAACTTGCTGGCAATAACTTTCCTCCAAAGCCAAAGTCCCTCAACCCCAAATCTCCAAAGCCATTTCCCAAGAAGAGCCCTATTGAAAGCAACAACCTTCGAATCCCTAATCCTCCACTCCGAAGGGGACGACACACTTGCTCCCAACGAACCAGATGATATTTGAACTCCTCTCCTCTCCCTCCCCAAAGAAAATTCTGCTGCAAACTCTCAATTCTCTCCGCCACCGAAGAAGGAATCTGAAAAAGGGTGATAAAATAGGTGGGAAGGCAAGAGAGAGTGCTCTTGATTAGAGTGACCCGCCCCCTTTTGGAAAGGTACTGCTTCTTCCAACCTGCCAGTCTCTTCTCAAATCTATCCACCATCGGATTCCAACTCCCCACACATCTTGAAGGAGCACCCAGAGACAAACCTAAATAAGAAATAGGAAATGAGCCAGTGCCACATCCGAGGATCTGAGCAAACATCTCAATATCAAGAACATCCCCGACCGGCACTAAAACACTCTTTCCAACATTCACTTTAAGCCTATGATCACGTTAATTGGAAGTTTCTTCTTCACTTACTTCGTAGGATGGGGTTCGGAGATAGGTGATTAAATGGATAGAAACTTGTATCTCGTCTGTCATGTTCTCGGTACTTGTGAACAGATCTCCCGCTGGTTTTTTTGCGAGTTTGCGCGATTTGAGACAAGGAGATCCCTATCGTCTTTTTTTTTTTCTTTATTGTCATGGAGGGATTGAGCAGATTAATGAAAAGAGCCGAGGATCTGGGTCTTATCAAGGGCTTTAGAGTTGGTAGAGATGCTGCCAATCAGATAGAGATTTCCCATTTGTTGTTCGCGGACGATACCTTGGTTTTTTGTGATGCTGACGTCTCCTAACTCAGATACTTGAGGTGTATACTTGCTTAATGTAATACCCCGATATTTTAAATGATTTATTAATTGGGATTAATTACTTTTATTTTATTTTAA